CCCCAAAACCCCAAAACCCCAAAACCCCAAAACCCCAATTATAATATTTTACCAATATATTTATAATAATATTTGCCATGGAGTAGACCTTCTCATCCAGATTCACCATTCTTTACTTTTAACAATGCAAAACACGTACTTAACTCCAAGAGATCGTCCTGTAGTTGTAACCCAAACTGGGGTGAAGACTACCCAAAACAGTCAGATAAATGACAGCCAGTATCAACGAAAACTGAAAAGAAGGCATTCTTCTAGCTCTTCAGACTCCTCATCAAGTAGCGGCCAGGACATTGAAACCGACACTTCAATGGAAGAAGGAAAGATTGTCGAAGAAAATCCTGAAGAAAAGCGCCGTAAACTTGAACTTAAGCGCCAAGAAGAGGAAGAACAGAAAAGAATGAGAGAGGCTGAGCGTATTCAAAACCAAGAGATTAAGAAGAGAGAAGTCCACGAACGTAAAGAAAGAATAGAATTGCTCAAGAAGAAAAGAGCAAAGGATAAAAAGAAGCAGAAGAAGGAAAGAAAGCGCAAAGAGCTCGAGCAAGCAGAAGAAGCTATTAAACGCATGCAGGAAAGAGGACTGAATAAGAAGACTGATGAGCCCATCAAAAAGAAGAAAATAAAGTTAAAAAAAGAAGAAACTGGTGGTGTGAAAGAAGATGAAGAAGAAAGCACCAGTCCTACCCAAGACATTAAGACTGAAGTAAAGAAACAAGAAGTCAAGAAAAGATCTAGCTCCTCTGATTCTTCCGATTCTTCAACTTCAGATAGCAGTGATGAAGAAGCTCTGAAGAAGAAAGTAAAGTCTAATGTAAAGAAGTCAAAGACTCAAGCCCCAAAGCCTAGAGCTAATATTAAGAAAGAAGAATTATCAAGTTCAAGTTCTAGTAGTTCTTCTGAATCAGACACTTCAACAGAAACAAGTGAGGAATCTTCTGATTCTGAAGGTGGCAAGCATAAAATCCGAAAGGTCAAGAACGAATCAGATGAAGATGCTGATTTCGTTGTTGGAGGTCCCAAAGCAGAGGAGCAATACAACAGACAAAAGAAAAAGCTTCGTAAAAAAGAAATCAAACAGAAAAACATGCAGATCACTCCTGATGAGTATGAAGACCAGATCTGGATGGCTTACATGGAACCTCAGTACGAAGGTGATAAACTAGATAAGGTAGAGACTTCAGTGAATTACAAGCATATGATTCAGGCCCAAAAGAGAGCTCTAGCAATGTACGAGAGAAGGAAGAATGCTAAGCCTCGTAAGAAGCCAGTACGAAAGAAAGATCTTCCTGCTGTTACGAAAAACTGTTCAATTCTTACTCGAGAAATTGACCAAAAGAAACCTAAAGAAAAGAAGAGCAAATATGTTGAATCGGATACAGAGGATGATGAGATGTTCAAAGATGATGAAGAATACCAACGAATCAAGAAATCTAAAGAAGATTACCGGCTCTGGAAACTCAGAATGGAGAGTGTCAAATTCAATCCTGCTGTAGAAATGCCACTTCCCTAATGTTCTAACTATCAAGAAGCAAGCTCTTGGTGAAATCGAGCTGATCAAAAAGCATAAAAGGAAGAGCAAATCAATGGTGAGAATCAAAAAGAGGAAGGTTGTACAGCCAGAAACAGAGACTAAACCTGAAGATTTGAAGCCAGAGAAATCTTCCATCAAAAAGGCTTCCAAAAATCAGAAAATGAAGGAAAGAGTTTAGTGAAACCCACTAAAAAGGTCGAAAAAGAGGTTGCTACAAAGGAAAAAGAAACAGAAAGTACTTCCTCAGAAAATGCTCAAAGCAGCTCTGAGGATGCAGAAATGGAATCTGAAGAAGGAAGTATCGACAAAGAGCATAGAAAAGAAGCTAAGAATAAGGATCAAACCTCTGAAGAAGAAAGCAGCCAAGAATCTGATGTCGAAATAGAAGAAGAAAGTGAGACTGAGCAATCACAGGAATCTGAGAAAAAGCAGAAAGATATTGACATGAAATCAGAATCCGGAGAATCACAAGCAAAGGATGAAGCTGAGTCTGAAAAGTCTGATGTTGAAATGGAAGGGGAAGAGTCTTCAGAGATTGAAAGCAAGAAGGATATTGTAAAGGCAGATGATAAAGAATCTTCTGAGAAATCTAATGATCAAGAAGCAACTGAAAAATCTGAACATGAAAAGATATCAGAAAAATCTGAAGATAAAGGTGTAGCAGAAAAATCGGATGGTAAGTTATCTAAGACCAATCCAGAGGATGAAAATGATGAAGAAAAATCATCTAAAGATGTAAGCTCTAAATCAGCAGAAAGCCCAAAGAAAAAATCCAAAAAGAGTGACAAAAAGCAATCAAACATCCCTTTAAAGGCTTCAAAATCCTCTTCATCTCAAACATCTAAATCCGCTTCCAATCCACTAAAATCATCTTCATCCCATTCAACATCCCAATCAGCCCCTTCAGAAGCCCATTCCATCTCCATCTCCTCCGAACCCACCTCAAAATCCATCCAAGAGCAAGAAAAACGGCTCTCCTTCAGCGACAGCGAAGCTGGCGCCATTCCAAAGGCCAAAAGCCTTAAAAAGCCTTCAAAATCCCCTATCCCAGCCAAAACCTCCACAAATACTGCTCCTAAAGCCCCTTATTCCCCCAAGAAGCAATCTCCCAACAAACCTTCTGCAGAGAAGCAGCCATCCAAGAACAAGGAAGCCGAAGAAGGAGATAAACAACAGAACAAGCAGAGGAAGGAATCTACCAAGAAGAGGAAGACTCAGGAAGAACCTGTAGTGAAGAAGGCAACTGGGAAGAAGAATTGAGAGAAGAAGAGAAAGAAGGCAGAGGAGTCGGATGAGTATGTGCCTGATAGTGGGAAGAAGGAGTGTAGGGGACAAGGAGAGGTGAAGAGGAAGAGAGGAAGACCTAAGAAGGTAAGAGATGAGGTAGATGAGAAGAAGAAAGGTGGTGAAGGGTCTGAGAAGAGAAAGAGAGGTAGGCCTAAGAAGGTTTCGAGTGGGGAAGATGGCGGAAGGAAGGAGAACAAAGGGATTACAAATGCTCAAAAGAGAAAAAGAGGAAGACCAAAGAAAATATTATTCCAGCCTCCTAGCAATCTTCCTGTAACCCCTCCAAAGCATCTTAAACTTCCTTCACATTTCCCTGTCCCTTCTCCTAACCCTAAGCTTGCTGAAAAATTCCCTACAACATCAAAACTTGCCAAAAAAAGTATCTCCAAAACCTGTAAAAAAGTCATCCCCAAAGCCTGTCAAAAAGTCATCTCCTAAGCCCACCAAAAAGAAATCGCCTAAACCTTCCAAAAAAGTATCTCCTAAGCTAACCAAAAAGCAGTCTCCAAAACTAATCAAGAAGTCTTCACCAAAGCCAACACAAAAGACCTCTCCTGTCAAAAAACGCATAGAAAAATCCACCAGAAAAGCCCTCAAGGACATTAGCAACGGTACAAAACGGAGTTCCTCCATCGGCTCTTCATCCTTAACAGATTCCACTGCTGAGAACTTCAGTGACAACACAGAGAGACCTTCTACTCTTAAGCGACAAAAAATTGAAGAATAAACTAGTCTAATTATTTTTATAAAGCCACTGGCATTCTTTAATTCATACTTTCAAGTTTCAATATTTCAGGATATTTGAGGGGTTTTGGGGTTTTGGGGTTTTGGGG